CGAACGCAAACACATATAACTATACGAATACACATACACATGCGAATACTAAAACATTGACATGTACATACGCATGCCCATACCATGCCAAATATATACACATGCACGTTCACATAACCCGTTACCGGTACAGAAACTGCTACAAATACATAAACACACATGTACATGTACGTATACATTGCTCTATACATATACATATGCAAACACATATACACCAACACATACATATACATATACATACGCAAACACATTTAAAAGCATGCACATACACATACATATGTTTATGCACAAACAAATTCGAATACAAATGCCGATACATCGACCTACCCATAGACCTGCACATAGTTATATGCATATACATATACAAACACATATGCATATAAGTTTACAAATACACATACATATACATATACGAATACTTAGGCAAAAACAGATACACGACCACCCACTTATACATATATGTGTATACGGCGGCGGCATTCGACAAGGAACCCTTAGATAAGGAATCTAGGGTCTGAAAGCTTGTGAAACATCAACTGAGGCTTTGCCATGAATACTACCGCTGCCCTCATCAGACAAGAAATCCTCCAGTGTTTGAAGCCTCCTGGACGCATTCCTTAATACATGCCCCCACCGTATATACACACATATACCTATACGACCACCCTGCGGGTGATAAGTAGGTTGGGGTGGGCAGCAATGGGTAAAAGTGGTGATTGTTGTTCTGACGATGCCTGTGGAGAGGCGTCTAGTGAGTAGTGTGATTGTGCACGTGAGCGCGATGTGATGTGGCGATGTTTGAAATGCACCACCCACGGCGGGACACCGGCGGGACACCAGCGGGACACCACGGGCCACCGTTTGACGGGAGGAGCATCATCTGGTCCGGCCGCGGCCCAGCCACAGGAGGATTTCGGGACACCAGCGGGGCACCGTCGGGACACCGCGCGCCACGGGCCGCCGGAGGAGAAACACTTGGTCCGGCCGCGGCCCAGCCACAGGAGGAGTTCGGGACACCAGCGGGACACCGGCGGGACACCGCGGGCCACCGGCCGCCGGAGGAGAAACACTTGGTCCGGCCGCGGCCCAGCCACAGGAGGATTTCCTCGTGCCCGCCCACGCAGCTTCGCCTCGCCCGCACGCACGCACGCACGGCACGCACGACACGAACCCGAAACCGAAATCGATTTCCCACTAGGGGGGGGTCTCCGTTTCACGTCGGACTCACCCCCCAACCTCCGACATATACTTAAACCTAAGCATATGCATAGCCGTATGGTATACATAGACACTTACAGCCACGCATATACATTTAAAACACAAATACTTATACACACACAGACACAATTACAATTACAGTTACAAGTGCATATACGCTTACCCATGCATATGAATATACATTACAGATGCCTCTGCATAGACATCTGAAAATACATCTATACACATGCACACAACCATGTACGAAGATAAACATACACATGTACACAACCAAACTCATACATATCTATATGTACAGATATATATATATACACACATATACATTTCCGTATACATATACAAATATAACATTCAAAAACATCGACATGTACATATACAGATGTTTCTTCGAGGCCAGCGGCACAGCACTCCACTGGCGGGTGCGCAGGCGGCCCTCGGTCGATCACCTGCTGCAAGGCATAGAGGCCATCTACATATACGAATAGAGATACATATACATATACGCATACGAATACACATGTCAGTATGTATAAGCACCTGCACATGTACATATACGTGAGCATACGCAAATACATATGCCTAACAATACAAATTGACATATACCTATACAAGTACGAATGCGTATACAAATGAATGTACCGATACATGCACATAAACATATACATAGCCGTACACATATACACGTGACCATACATAGACATAAGCAGACACATATGCATACACATATACCCATACATCTACATATACCTATACACAGACCTATACATATACATATACATGGACGTATACATATAAGTATGAAGAATTGCATATACATGTACACATACCCATATACAGACTGATACGTGTACAAAGACGTATACCAATACGTACACATATACATACACATCCATACACACTGACACACACATATAGATGTTTGAATGCACATAAATATACGCATCGGAATTTGCGTGGTGAGATCGACATGAAACGGAGACCCCCGACCGGGAAATCGATTTCGGTTGCGCATCGTGCGCGCAGGCGGGCGAGGCGAAGCTGCGTGGGCGGGCGAGCCGAATGAACTCGCCGATGCTAGGGCGAAACCAAGCCAATTGTTGCTGCCCCCCACGGCTGGCCGTCGGTGGCTCGGGGGTGACCCGCCGGTTAGCTGGCGGTGGCTTGTGGCTGTTTCGATGATGGCCCGATGGTTTCAAGAGGTGTCTCGATGGTGCCCCGATGGTGTCCACATGGTATCCACATGATGCCCACATGGTGCCCACATGATGTCCCGATGGTGTCCCAATGGCTTCCGATTGGTATCCACATGGTGCCCCGATGGTTGTCCCGGTGGTAGTCCCGATGGTTGTTCCGATGGTTGTCACGATGTTGCCCCGATGTTGTTCCGATGGTTGTCACGAAGTTGCCCAGATGGTGTTCCGATGGTGTCCCGATGGTGTCTAGATGGTGCTCCGATGGTGTCCGCATGGTGTCCACGTGGTGTCCCGTTGGTGTCCCGATGGTGTTCACATGGTGTCCACATGGTGTCCCGTTGGTGTCCCGATGGTGTTCACATGGTGTCACGATGGATGTCCACATGATATCCCGATGGGTGTCTACATGGTGTCCCGATGGGTGTCCCGATGGTATCCCGATGGTGTCCCGATCGTGTCCAGATGGTGTCCAAATGGTGTCTCGATGGTGCCCCGATGGTGTCCGGATGTTGTCCCGATGGTGTCCACATGGTGTCCACAAGGTGCCCCTATAGTGTCCCGATGATGTTGCGGTGGGTGTCCAATTGGTGTCCACATGGTGCCCCACTGGTGTCCACATGGTGTCCACATGATGTCCCGGTGGGGTCCCGATGATGTTTCAGTGGATGTCCACATGGTGCCCCGATGGTTGTCCCGGTGGTTGTCCCGATGGTTGTCCCGATGGTTGTTCTGATGTTGACCCGATGGTGTTCTGATGATGTTGCGATGGTATCCCGATGGCGTCCCGATGGTGTCCCGATGGTGTCCCGATGGTGGCACTTAGTTGTCCCAATTGGTGTCCCGATGGTGTCCCATCGCAGTTGTCATCTATTGGTTTTCCTTCATCCCCACAGCCATCTAGATAACCACTGGGCAACAAAATGAGCAGCACGGTGGCGTTTATTTGTCCCCATACCTCCCCTCTCGATGGAATTTCGGCTCGAGGTGCCCTGCAGCGCGGTCGATCGTGAGGCCGATAGATCAATAGCGAGACCGATAGTGAAATCGCATGATGCACTGCTACTGCTGCGTGCTGTTCGTTTGCGATGCCCCGCTCATCACCAGCATCGTCGCCATGCATCGTCACCATCACAATCACCATCATGCATCGTCACCATCATCGCCATCGTACATCGTCACCAGCTCGCGAGGGCATCACCAGCATCGTCACCATCAAAATCATCGCAAACGTCATCAGTTGGTTCCCTCCCACCCCACAACATCCTAATCACCGGCAGGGTGGTCGTACACGTGTACACGTCGGTCGGAAGAAGTAGGTAAAAACATGAGATAGGAAGGCGGATTAAGTTGATTGGGTCCAGGCCCCCCCAGGGAATAACAAAACACAGCAAAAGCGTGTCGACTCTTGAAGTAGGAAGGCGCTTGAAATAGATTGGGATCTGGGAATCCAACAATACCTACTTGCAGCGACCGGCGTGTACCTACACGACCACCCTTCGGGTGATAAGGAGGTTGTGGGGGGGCAGAGGGGGGAGGGAACCAACATCTGATTCGATCGATCTCACTATCGATCTCACTCAACGGGACACCACAGGACACCACGGGGCACCACGGGACACCTGTCGGTCTCACTATCGATCTCACTAGCGATCTCACTTTTTGGGACACCACGGGACACCTCGGGGCACCACATCGATCTCAGTATCGATCTCACTATCGATCTCACCATCGATCTCACTATCGATCTCATTCAACGGGACACCACGGGACACCACGGGACACCGCGGAACACCGCGAGCCACCGCTGGACGGGCGGGAGGGGGAGAATCATTTGTCTTGACTTCGCCCTAACAACAGCGGACACCACGGGACACCAGCGGCACATGGGCGGGACACCGCGGGCCACCGGCCGCCGGAGGAGAAACATTTGGTCCGGCCGCGGCCCAGCCACAGGAGGAGTTCGGGACACCAGCGGGACACCGGCGGGACACCGCGGGCCACCGGCCGCCGGAGGAGAAACATTTGGTCCGGCCGCGGCCCAGCCAAAGGAGGATTTCCTCTCGCCCGCCCACGCAGCTTCGCCTCGCCCACACGCACGCACGGCACGCACGACACGAACCCGAAACCGAAATCGATTTCCGGGTAGGGGGGGTCTCCGTTTCACGTCGGACTCACCCCCCAACCTCCGATATACGTGTAGGAAAAACAGAAAGAGAGGGGGGCGGTGAGCGAGAAAGAGACAGAGAGAGGGAGACAGAGAAAGAGAGAGAGAGATGGAGAGAACGATATATATACCTATATATAGAAAAAATGATAGGTAGAGAGCGAGAGAGGCAAAGATGGGGAGAAAGAGAGCGAGAGAGAGATGCCAAAATGTGAAATGGCACAACACAAGACGTCGGCAAAATCTGCATCCCGCATGGGTCCACTGCTCCTCTCCTGGCCCTATGCGTTTCGACCAGCTTGCATGTATGCCCTGCTACGGCTAAAGATACACCTGTCTTCAAAATTACGGTCTTCCAGCACCCCTGCTCAGTCGCTGTGTGGAAACAAACCATTTATGCTACGTGCCCTTCGTCATCGAACGTCCCTGGTGGTCGGTTTCGAACCCGATGGAGCGGAATCGTCGCGTGCACCTCGCGCGGGCCGACAGCAGTGGATACAGACTGGCAGCACGGTACAGCCCAGTGCAGGGATGAGAACAAAAGTTTACACAATGAACAAGCCCACAAGCGGCGAATATCGCTCGGATATGGGCGGTGAGATTCCCAAGGCACCAGCCCGCAAAAAGTCATGCGCTCCCCCCTTGGACTCGTAGACCCTGACTATCTGCCAGAACCGCGTCGATGTCAGACCAACTGCTGTTTGCCTTCAGAGGCGACGCGCGATATCAACAGTGTATTTCCGATGCCAGGCTGCCCTCGAATCCCACGAACAACGCGTTCACAAACCATGTCTGCATCTCGCTGGGAAGCCACCCGCCAAAACCCTGCTCCTCTTCATCCTCCTCCTGGGAACGGGGGAGAGCGTGCATCGAGCCTCCTCCTCCTCCTCCTCCTCCTCCTCCTCCTCCTCCGAGGGGGTGGAGCGTGCATCGAACCTCCTCCTCCTCCTCCTCATATCCTGAGAGGGGAGGGCAGGAGGAGAAAGCCCTGTCGACTCTCGGCGAGCCTTGGCCCATATCATGCCTCGAGCTCTTCATCTCCAACCCACCTCCGTGCAACCGCGCTCGGCCATCATCCTCGGTCTCCCTCCTCCCTCCCCCTCCTCCTGATCCGTCAGCCCCTCCTGGTCATCATCACCATGTCACCCTCATTATCTTCCTCCTCTTTCATCATATGTCCTCCTCTTTCCCCTCCTCCTCCTCGTCCTCTTCCGCACCACCATCATCAGCAACATCATCAGCATCAGCATCATCACAATCTGCATCATCATCATCATCATCATCATCATCATCAGCATCATCATCAGCATCAACATCATGGGTGCACCGCTGGATCTCCCCAGGTGGGGAGGGGGTACCCCCCCTTTCCCCGATCCGTCGTCGGGGACCCCCCCCTTACCCGATCCGTCGTCGGGGACCCCCCCCTTCCATCCGTCGTCGGGGACCCCCCCCCCCCCACTTTTCAAAAGGTGTGGGGAGGTTCCGACCCCCCCCTCCCCCCCTTGGGCCGCCAAAATCGACCCCCCCCCATTTCGCCACGGCGCCCCCGAGCTTCGGAACCCGACCCCTACCACCCCTAACACTAATCCTCACCCTAACCCTAACCCCATAACCACTAACCCCCACACCCTGAACCCAACCCCAAGCCCTAACCCTAACCCCAAACAGCATTCACTACTCATTACGCACTACTCACTACCCACTACCCAATACTCGCTACTCACTACTCACTTCTCACTACTCACTACCCATTACTCAGTAACCACTACCCACTACTCACTACCCCCTACTCGCTACTCACTACTCACTGCACACAACCCACTACCCACTATTCACTGAGCACAAATCACTATTCAATACCTACTAATCCGAACCACTATCCACTACTCACTACCCACTACTCACACTTCACTACTCACTACTCGCTGCCCACAGCTCACTACTCACTATCCACTACCCGCTCCTCGCTACCCCCTACTTCCTACACAATTATCACTAGTCACTACTCACTACTCGCTACTCCCTACAGCCTACTCGATCCCCAATACGCACCATGCACGACCCACTACTCACTACTCACTACGCTCACACTACCCACTACTCCCTATACTCACTACTCCCAAGTCACTACTCACTACTCACTACTCACCACCCAGTACCCAATACCCACTACTCACTAAACACTACTCACTGCCCACTACTCACTAATCACTACTCACGACCCACTAGTCACTATCCACTACTCACTATTGAGTACGCACAGTTCACTACTCACAACTCACTGACCACAACCCACTAAGCACGATCCGCTGCTCGCTACTCGCTACTCCCTACCCCCTACACAGTACTCACTGCCCACTACTCACTGTTCACTACCCACTACTCGCTACCCACCATTCGCTACCCACTACCCAATACGCAATATTCAGTACCCACTACGCACTACTCACTACTCACTACTCCCTACTCCCTACTCCCTACTCACCAGTCACAGTCACAAATCGCTACTCACTACCCACTATTCGATACTCACTACTCACTACTCACGACTTACGATTCACGAGTCACTACTCACTACCCGCTACCCCCTACGCACTACCCACGACCCACTACTCAATCCCCACTTCCCCCTTCTCACTACTCACGACTCACTACTCCCTACCCACTACTCACTACTCACTAATTACTATTCACTACCCCCTACTCGCTACTCAATACTGACTACTTCCTCCTCACTACTCACGACTCACAATGCCCGACTCGCGACCCACTGTTCACTACCCGCTACTCCCTACTCGCTACTCACTACTAACTACCCAGTTCCCACTACCCACTATTCACTACTCACTACTCACTACTCACTGAGCACTACCCACTCCTCACTCCTCACTACTCGCTACTATCTAGTCAGTACTCACGATTCACTACTCACTACCCACTATTCACTACTCTCTACTCACTACCCACTACTCACTATCGCGAGGACAGACCCCCCTTGCGGGAGAGGCCCTCTCCCCGGCCCCCTGTTCGGCGCCAAGGGGGAGAGATGGGCGGGGGTCGAAAACTCCCCTTCCCCTTTCCAGCGCCAAGGGGCGGAGGGGGGTGGGAGGTCGGGACCCCCCCCCCTTTTCAAAGGGGGGGGGTCGGACCCCCCTCCCCTTTAAGGGGGGGAGACGGGGGGGGGGTCGAAAATCTCACCCTCCCTTTGAAGGGGGGGAGGGGGGGTGGGGTTATGCGAGCACACACCCCCTTTGGTGTATTCAAGGTGATCCACTGGCGCGCTTTCATAATCAGCCTCTCGTGTCCCTCCTCATCGAAATCCTGCTCCGCCGCCTCCTCCCGATCATCATCGTCATCAGCAGCATCAACACCATCATCAGCATCATCATCATAATCAGCAACGGCATCATCATCATCATCATCATCATCATCATCATCACCACCACCACCACCATCATCATCATCATCATCATCACCGTCATCAGCATCATCATCATCAGCAGCATCATCATTATCATCATCAGCATCATCATCATCAGCATCATCGTCGTCATCATCATCATAATCGTCAGCATCATCGGCAGCATCGTCATCACCATCACCATCACCATCAGCATCCCACCACCACCAACACGACCACAATCAGCATCATCGTCAGCAGCAGCAGCAGCGCAATCATCATCAACACGATCAGCATAATCAGCAACATCACCGTCGTCGACATCATTATTGTCATCATCATCAGCATCACCATCATGACCAACATCATAATCATCACCATCACCATCACCATCAGCGTCATCATCAACAGCAGCATCGTCATAAGCACCATCATCAGCAACATCATCGACATCATCAATCGCATCAGCACCATCATCACCACCATTAACATCATCAGCATCATCATGACCATCACCATCATCATGAGCATCATCATCATCATCATCATCGTCATCAGCAGCATCATCATCGACAACGACAGCATCTCCATCACCATCGTCATCATCATGTCCATCATCAGCAGCAGCATCACCACCAGCACCAGCAGCACCAGCAGCGGCATCATCATCATCAGCATCAGTATAACCGCCATCGTCATCATCGTCATCATTGCCATCATCATCCTGACGTTATGTCTCAATCAAAACGCTTAGGCGAGCAGCGATCTCTCCTCCCCGCTAGCGCCAACGCCCTCCCTTCTGCCGCGGCTTGCTACTGCGAAAGCATTGGATAAGGAACCGTTGGGTACGGAATCCAGGGTCTGCAAGCCCGTGGAGCCAACTGAGGCTTGACCATCGATACCACCGCCAACCTCATCAGATCTAGAATCCTCAAAGCTCTGAAGACTCCTGGGCTCATTCCTGAACGAACGCTAACGCTACCACCCTATACCTAACATGTCTCGTCTCGTGTTCCCTTCCTCCCCTTTGCCTGGAGCTGCTCTGTCATGCTTGACTCGTACCGTTTTCCTCCCCCCCCCACCTCCCCTGCCCCGTACTTTCCAGCCCCTGTGGGCCACCTGCACGGCTGAGAATCTGAGCGCGCCAAGACCCCCAGCAGAGGCATGGCCTCCGACCCAACCCTCCTACCCCGCCTACCGCCCCCGCCTAGCGCCCTCCCCCCGCCTACCGCATACACCACCACCACCACCACCACCACCATCATCATCATCATCATCATCATCATCATCATCATCATCATCATCATCATCAGCATCATCATCATCATCAACAACATCAACATCATCATCATCATCAGCATCATCATCATCATCATCAGCAGCAGCATCATCGGACGTATCATCATCAACATCATCATGATCAGAAGCCGCTGCAGCAGCAGCAGCAGTATCATCATAATACATAGCCTCATCATGGCAATCAGCATCACCATCACTAACAGCGTCATCATCATCAGTATCATCATCATCATCATCATCAACATCATCATCATCATGAGCAGCATCATCATCATCATCATCATCATCATCATCATCATCATCATCATCGTCATCGTCATCGTCATCATCATTATCAGTACCACCACCACCACCACCATCATCATCGTCATCAGCATCAGCATCACCATCATCAGTATCATCATCAGTAGCCACATCCTCATCCTCATCATCCTCATCATCACCAGCATCATCATCATCAGCATCAGCGCAATCAGCACCATCATCGTCATCAGCACTACCAGCATCATCATCATCACCATTATCATGAACGACATACTCATCAGATACATCGTCATCGTCATCGTCTTCGTCATCATCAGCATCATCATTATCAGAAGCACCATCATGGCCGTCATCATCATCAACATTATCATCAGCAGCATCAGCATCAGAATCAGAATCAGCAAATCATAGCCATCGTCATTATCAGCACCATCATCAGAATCATCATCATCGCCAGCCACAACGTCCACGATCGCATCTATATCATAATCGTCATCGTCTTCATCAGCAGCATCGCAATATTAGCATCGTCCCCACGATTGGCAACAATACCATTACGATCACCATCATCAGCATCATCATCAGCATCATCAGCAGCAGCGTCATCATCACTATCATAATCGCAATAAGTATTCTTATCATCGCCATCGTAAGTATCTCACCCATCCTTCTCTACCTCACCCTCCAGATTCCTCCTCCTCCTCATCATCATCAGAAGCAGCAACATCATCATCAGCAGCATCATCAAAATCCATCATCCACATCATCCGTTTCCTTCCCCTCCTACTCTCCATCGCCCCCCCTCCTCCTCCTCCTGATCATCATCATCATCATCATCATCATCATCATCATCATCATCATCATCACCATCATCAGCATCAGCATCATCATCATCATCATCATCATCATCACCCTCACCCTCATCATCATCAGCAACGGCATCATCCATTCCCTCCTCTCCCACTCCTCCTCCTCCTGATCATCCTCCTCCTCATCAGCAGCATCCATCAGCATCAGCATCATCCACCCCCCTGTCCTTTTGAGTAAATCCCAGATCTGCCGACAGGGCGGGCTGGGCGCGTCGACTGAGAAGTCCTCACCACATACCACATATGATCCTGAAGCTTGAACTTTGCATCCGCTTCACGGATGGCGGGGGTAGTCTTCGAAATGCGGTTCTCGCCGGAACGCCGCGCACATTCGTCTGCAAACTTTGCAACAGCTTCACGAGTGGAGGGGGGGGTAGTTTTCAAGATAATTCTCTCGCCTTGGCGCCGCGCAAAGTCGTCTTAAAAATGCGAAGCTGTTTCACGGACAGAGGTGGGTCCTGTTCAAAATGTGGAGCTCGCCTTGGCGCCGTACACATTCATCTTTAAAGATTGCGACAGCTTCACGGATCGAAGGCTGTTTCTTTTCAAACGAAGCTCTCACCTCGGCGTCGCGCACATTCGTCTAAGAAGCTTGCAACAGCTTCCCGGATAGAGGGAGGACATGTTCAAATGTTGTTCTCGCCTTGGCGCGGCGCACACTCGATTTAAAGATGTGAAACCGTTCCACAGATAGAGATCGGCCCCTGTTCAACATGTTGCTCTCGCCTTGGCGCCGCGCACACTCGCCTGAAACATTTGCAACCGCGTCAAGGATGGAAGGGGGCATTTTCGAAACGTGGCGCTCGCCTGAGCGCCGCGAACATTCGTCATAAAAGTTTGCATCAATGCCATGTATGGAAGGCGGGTGTGCTCAATACCGTTCCCTCGCCTAAGCGCCGTGAACATTCGTCATAAGCTATTCCACGAACTTCATAGACGGAGGGCGACTCCTTTTCAACATGGGGGCTTTCGCCTTAGCGACGCGACGTTCGTCTCAAAACAAGGCAAGTGCTTCAAGGATTGAGCACTGGGAACCTTAGCGCCGCGCGCAACCGCGATCTTAAATGCAGTGCTCAGCTGGATTGAAGACTACACTTTTTCAAAATGGAGCTCTCGCCTGGGGTTTCGCCATGTACAAAGACCTGAGAAGGTAGAGCAATACATGGCGGGCTGTTCTCCAAATGGAGCAGTCAAGTGGAAGCTCACCGAAGCTCATGACCACGAATGTAAGCTTGTGCGCCACTTACACCGATGGGGTGCAATCTTTCTTCGAAACGGGGGACATCGCTGACGCCCCGTTGGAGTGTATGATCACTGCCAGTCGCGTCCCTCATTACGAGCAAAATGAGATGCAAGGCAATTCCTGTTCAAAGTGGTGACTTTGCCGAAATGGCAGGCCTAGCTGCGCTGGTCCTTCAACTGGGAGCGTTTGTAGTGAAAAAGCAACACTGCTAGGGGCGTATGGGAGGGAGCTCTGGACGGGAGGGTGCATTGCAGCATCGTTTATGCATACTTGGTTGGCTCTGGTCCTCCTCCTCATCCTCCTCCTCCTCTCGTTCCCCTCCTCCTTTCCTTCCTCCTCCTCCTCATCCTCCTCCTCCTCCTCATCATCATCCTCACCAGCATCCTCCCAATCCTCATCCTTATCCTCCTCCTCTTCCTTTTCTTCCTCCTCCTCATCCTGGTCATCATCATCGCCGTCCTCATTCTTTTCCTCCTCGCCTTCCTCCTCATAGTTATCATCATCACCATCATCATCGACATCATCACCACCACCATCATCACCATCTTGATCAGCATCACCATCACCACCACCATCATCATCATCATCATCATCATCATCATCACCACCACCGCCGCCACCAAAGAAATCATAATCAAAATCCTCATCCTCATCCCATTCCCCCTCATCATCAGCAGCAGCAACATCATCAACCTCAACAACACTCATCAACAACATCATCATCCGCAGCATCATCACCATCATCATCATCGTCGTCGTCATCATTATCAGCAGCAGCGGCAGCAACAGCAGCACCATCATCATCATCATCATCATCATCATCATCAGCAGCAGCATCACCATCACCATCACCATCATCCTCATCAGCTGAACCATCATCATCATCATCATCATCATCATCATCATCGACAGCAGCATCATTACCATCATCACCATAACCATCACCATCATCAGCATCACCACCATCATCCTCAGCATAATCATCACCATCATCATCAGCATCATCACCAGCAGCACCATCACCATAATCATCATCAGCATCAGCATCATCATCATCATCACCAGCACATCAGCATCATCACCAGCAGCACCACCACCATCATTATCATCATCAGCATCATCACCATCATCAGCATCCCCATCATTATCACCACCATCACAATCAATGTCATCATCACCACCACCGTCACCATCATCAGCATCAGCATCACCACCACCATCATCTTCAAAAGCAACATCACCATCATCATCATCATCATCATCATCATCATCATCATCATCATCATAACCATCATCACTATCACCACCACCACCACCGCCACCATCAGCATCCTCATCATCAGCATAGTCCCCAACATCATCATCATCATCATCATCATCATCATCATCATCAGCATCATCATCATCATCATCATCATCGTCATCATCTGCATCATCAGCAGTAGCATCACCAACATCAACAACACTCACCAACATCACCATCATCATCAGCATCAACACCACCATCAGCAGCATCACCGTCACCATTGTCATAATCGTCATTATCATCACCATCATCATCTCCCGTTTCCCCCTCCCTCCCCACTTCCCTTCCCTCCTCCTTTCCGCGGCAGCAGCCGACCCCCACACGCCCCCGCCTCCTCTGGACCCGCCCGGGCTGGACGAGCGCGAGCGGCCGGAGCGCGAGGAGGCCTGCGCGAGCGGCGCGCGGCGGGCGAGCGCCGAGGCTCCCGAACGCCCCGGGTCTGACGGAGGGGGGCGTTCGCCCAGGGGGGGGGAGCGAGGAAGGAAGGGCGAAGAAGAAGCAGCGAACAGGGCGCAAGAGGAGAAGGACGAGGAGGAAGAGGAGGAGGAGGAGGAGGAGGAGGAGCAAGGAGGTGAAACTGCTGGCAATTAGTAAGTTTCAGGGTCATCAACGGCCAGGAAGTCTCAGTCCGCCTTTTCCACCGGCCTCGAGGTGCGTCTAGGACCGATTTTAAAAAGAAAAGGGACGGAGGAGGAAAAGGAGGAGGTTAGGACAAGACATGAGATCCGCATAAACGCGTTCAACGTCAAAACACCTACGCTGGTGCCCAGCGGGCTTCTGGCAAAATCCCCTGCGATTGGTTGCGCAACGGCTCTGATTTTTCACGAGGGCCGGCAGGGGGCACGCCCCGTTGCTCAAGGAGCGAGTCCCGAGGTGGCCCCGTAAGAGAGGCCCGCTACCATACGATTGCGAGCCCCTGCGGGTCAGCGCGGGGGGAGCAGCTGATGGCCCTCCCGCGTGCCCAAACGGGCGGGGACGCGCTGGTTTAGCAGCGCACCCAAGCTAGGGGGCAAGAGACGACGACACGACAACTCAAAAAGAGGAGGGGGGGAGGGTCGGGAGGCCCGCGCTTCCCGAATTTTGGCTGGGGTGCCTGATTACCCTACTGAGTGTGTTGTCTCCTGGTCTCTCCTCTCGCGCTCGGTTCACGTTCTCTTCCACATCGGACTGGCCGATACTTGCCCCATGCATTGTCGCATCTGTACTCTGATACCCTGTTGCAGTCTCCCACTGTTCCCCCTCGAAGTGTATGTGGGGTAGAACGCACTGGTAGTCAAAGTATGTTGTAAGTCGGGCCATCGAGGATGCGCTCTGGTGGGTTTCGTGGCGATCACTTTTTTCCCGATTCATCACCCTGCAGTAACGTCCCTGTCGGCACTCCAAAAACAACATTTCCCACGGCGATGTCAGTGCGAGCACTCTGTGTTTGCCCGTCCTGTTCGCCTAGAGTAGCACTCCGAGATAATCTCGCGAATGCATACCTTGGCTTTGTCCGTGGGCTCGTCCAACTTGCCCAGAGCAGCACTCCAAGAAAATCTCGCCGATGCATCTATTGGCTTTCCATTGGGCTCCAATGGGTGCTCTCGCTGGCGGCCGCTGGAAGAGCTGGCCTCCGTCGTCTCCTCCGACTTGGGGCACGCGAACTTTTCCTCGAAGATCTCGGTACCATCCAGCAGGGTCTGCGCACTGTCTCGTAGTTCCTGTCGCTCTGCGAGCCCTTTCTTCACTTCCTCTGGATCGAGATTGCCCTCTGGATTGAGCCCAGGGGGGGCGCTCGTCCAGGGGGGGAGAGCGAGGAAGGAAGGGCGAGGAAGAAGCAGCGAACAGGGCGCAAGAGGAGAAGGACGAGGAGGAGGAGGAGGAGCAAGGAGGTGAAACTGCTGGCAACTACTAAGTTTCAGGGTCATCAACGGCCAGGAAGTCTCAGTCCGCCTTTCCCACCGGCCTCGAGGCGCGTCAAGGACCGATTTATTTTTATTATTTATATATATATATATATATATATATATATATATATATATATACATATATATATATATATATATATATATAAAAAAAAAAAAAAAAAAAAAAAAAAAAAAAAAAAAAAAAAAAAAAAAAAAAAAAAAAAAAACTGAGGAGGAAAAGTAGGAGGTTAGGACAGGACATGAGATCCGCAGAAAAGCGTTCAACGTCAAAACACCTACGCTGGTGCCCTGCGCGCTTCTGGCAAAATCCCATGCGATCGGTTGCGCAGCGGCTCTGACTTTTCACGAGGGCCGGCAGGGGGCACGCCCCGTTGCTTCAGGAGCGAGCCCCGAGGTGGCCCCGTAAGAGAGGCCCGCTGCCATACGATTGCGAGCCCCTGCGGGTCAGCGCGGGGGGAGCAGCTGATGGCCCTCCCGCGCGCCCAAGGGGCGGGGACGCGCGGTTTTAGCAGCGCGCCCAAGCCAGGGGGGAGGAGACGAGAGGAGGGGGAGAGGGTCGGGAGGCCCGCGCTTCCCAAACTTTTGCCGGGGTGCCTGATTACCCGACTGAGTCCGTTGTCTCCTAGTCTCTCCTCTCTCGCTCGGCCCGCGTTCTCTTCCACATCGAACTGGCCGATACTTGCCCCATGCATTGTCGCGTCTGCACTCTGATACCCTGTTGCAGCATCCCACTGCCCCCCCCCCATCGAAGTGCAAGTGGGGTAGAGCAGATAGGTAGTCAAAGTATGTTGTAGGTGGGGCAATCGAGGATGCGCACTGGTGGCCTTCGCGGCGATCACTTTTTTCCCCCAGTCATCACCCTGCAGCAACGCCCTTGTCGGCGCTCAAAAAAAACACGCCCCATGGCGACGTCAGCGCGAGCACTCTGCGTTTGCCCGCCCTGTTTGCCTAAGAGTAGCACTCCGAGAAAATCTCGCGAACGCGCGCCTTGGCTTTGTCAGTGGGCGCGCCCAGCTTGCCCAGAGTAGCACTCCAGGAAAACCTCGCCGACGCATCTCTTGGCTTTCCAGTGGGCCCCAGTGGGCGCCCTCGCCGGCGGCCGCTGGAAGAGCTGGCCGCCGCCGTCTCCTCCGGCTTGGGGCACGCGAAATTTTCTTCGACGATCTCGGTGCCATCCAGCAGGGTCTGCGCGCTGTCTCGTAGCTCCCGTCGCTTTTTGAGCCCTTTTCTTCACATCCTCTGGATCGAGATTGTCCTCGCCACTCAGCCGCTTCATGGCGACCCCCATGACTTCGCGGAGGTTCTCTTCGCCATTCCTCGAAATCTTCGGCGCCAGCTCACGCCAGCTCTGCACCGCGAAGGCCCCCCTCCCGGCCCCTCCCCACGCGCCCACAGGATGCCTCGCGATGAGATCGCAACCTTTAACATTGCGCGTCGTCGGGAAGGACGCGGGGATCAGCTCGAAAAGCCCCTCTGGGCCCATGCGCTAGGCGGCGCCGTAGAACTTGCAGCGGCGCCCCTGGATGGCGCGACGGCGTCGCCCAGCTGCCGCGGCAGCCTGTCCGCTACGAACGCCCCCCAGCCGTCTCCCACCTTGGGCTCCACCGCCATTGGCGGCCCACTCTTGAACGGGAGGAACTCCGACTCGCACCCGATGTCTGGCCACCCCCCCCCCAGTCATCGCCGAACGCGCCCTTCATCTTGCCCACCCACTCTTTCATGAGCTCATCTTCTGGGCGGCACTCCTGCGCCTGAACGAGCTGCGACCAGCCCACCACGCACCTGAACTGCCACTCGTCACCTCTCGAGTGGGCGCCGGGGCCTTCCCATCAAAACTCGTTTGGGAAGGCAAGCCCGCGCGAGCAGGCGACGCCCTTCTTTTCGCCCCATCCTGCGTTCCACCGGCAAGCGTTGAACAGCTGTACGTCGTCGCCCCGCTTGTCCGCGAAGTCCAGCGCCTTGAAGCACGCCGACTGCTTGTCCCCCATGTTCTTCGCCGCCTCGCAGTCGCCCATCTCGCGCAGCTCTTTCTCTGTTTCCCCCAGCACTTTTGTTTGCTGCCCTGGGTGCATCCTCGTCACTGACGCCAATGGCCATGCACTTGTCGAGAACGATGTCGCATCCGCTGCCGACGGCCAAGCCTCTGCCACGCCTTCGCCTGCTGTGTGGAAGGCTGCACAGAAGCCCCCATACACTTAAATGCCCTCGAAGCAGAGCCTCCGCCATCTCCTCTGACTTCTCCAGGGCCAACTTGCCCCTTACACTGCAAGACTTTTTTTATTCGGGCCTTAGTATTATTCTTCTTCTTCCGCCAGGGGCGCCTGCGCTGCTTCGATCTGCCCCGAGGGTTGGGCAGCCCACGTGGCTCCTTCTGCTTCCCTCTTCTGTTCTCGGCAGACCTGCTCTCTCGAAATAGACTGCTCTCCTCCACGTAGCGCCCTCTCTTCATCACTCCATTCGCCCCGCCCCCCCCGGCCTCCGCCCCAGCTCGCAGTCGACGCGCACCCTCTTCCATTGACTGCCGTTGCCTCCTTGATCTTCTCCATGGCCAGGCCCATGTCTTGCGCGCCCCCCGCGGCTCTCGATCGCCCCGCGGCACCCGAACCCCCTGTTGCAAAGCCCGCAGGGCCATGGCTGGCCGCTGCCCGCGATGGCCACGGGTGGCCCCCCGCGCCCCGCACTCCGACAGACCCCGCTAGTGCGCAACGCCGCGCACCTGGGCCGTCGCTGAGCCAGATCAATCTAGCGGACCCGGCCCTCGCTGAACTCCTCGGGCGGGCCCCCCTAGCTCCTGGCAGAAGAGCGGCGAAAGACCCACGGCGGCAGATGCACGCCTGCCGGGGGAGACCACGGCTGCAGAGCAAGACATACTAGCACGTGGTCGGATGGGAAGGCAGGGTCGGCGATGCCACATAAAATCGAGCACGATGGGGAGAGGTCGAGGAGGTCGGGCGTAGACATACTGATACTGCTATATATCCGATCGAGTCGACCAAACGATACCGATTCAGCAGGTTGAGTGATAGCACGACTATGAGCACACATAGGTTGCCCAAGCTCTGCGCGGCGATGGGGGGGGAAATAGAGCAGCGCGCCTGGCGGGCACGAAGAGCTCGGCCCCTGCTGAAGTAACATTGAACCTGCCTTCACCCGATTCGAAACAATTTCAATCCCCCAGGATGGTTCAGAGCGGGCCTCAGGATGTTTTGACGGCGAGAAACTGTTTCCGAACGGCAGGGTCGGGAAGCTCGGGGTCAAGGCGTACAGCGACTATTTGCGACTCTCCCTTGGGACCTCTGAGATCCAAATGGGCCACCTGGCCGGGCGCAGGCTCGCGGAACTCGGCGAGGGGGAAGTCTCTAAGCAGATCGATGGCGACAAAAACGAGCAGGCCACCAGCGCCAGCGCGACTGCAGAACGAGCCGAAGACGGAGTGGTACCTGAAATCTCGTTCTAGATGCGGAAGGTTTCCATGGGTC